TTCCTTAAAGCCATTCAAGCATCTGTCCATTATTTTCTGCTCTACGATAGCTACCTCTACACTTTCAACTAAGAGACGAGAGTTAAAATTAAAGTAGAACTGTATGGATAAGTTCCCTAGGGAAGCTCTGGATTAACGCCGTCATTACAAGGACCAAAGGATCAAACTAGTTCTGTTTACGTATTGGGTAAATATTAGCACATACTGAGTACTGGGAAATTGTCTGTCAATACTGAAAATTTCCCAGTATCCGTTCACCAAATAGTTAATATTGTGTTACGATATCTACTAATAGACGACATAACCACACGAAGTATGTAATGATTCTTCATCATTATCGAACCAGCACACAAGTTTCTTTTGCAATCTCATTCAGGGCTGACTTACCAAAACCACTACCTCATGCACGCATTCAATACTATCACACCATCTATTATAATGTCCCTTACCGTGTGTGACGTCACTATGAACTATATAATTACAACTGAATTGGATCAACAGCCTAATATATACAAAATAATATCATATTATGAATCAGATGACACTAGTGATATATGTAGTAGAAAAATGGCTATAATATTTCCGAGGCCCCGGCGTCCTTTATGTGTTAAACAAGTAAACTGGGATTTCCAAGGGAAACAAAGTTAGTCAGTTGACTGTAATATAATCTACATCGTACCTTTCATCACTCCATTAGGCAAATCCCTTTAAATCCTTATTTCAGTACAATAAAGCTGTTTATCAGTAGACACAGGTTTGTATTGTTCGTGGACTCCAGGGAGGCTCGACGGTCCATGATGTTGTAGCTTATTGCGTGCTTTCAGAACTTTGAAATGAATTTTGTGGTCGGCTCATTCTGACCTTGTGTTTTATGCTTGGTAGTGTCTTGGTTTTCGTTGAAAGTTTGACACATCCTTATACTGTATTTTATTTAATTTTATTTCTTAGATGGGTCGACGAGCCCACAGCCCACTTGGTGTTTTTTTTTATTTGTTTTTTTATTGCCCTTGTAGGCAGACGAGCATACAGCCTACCTGATGGTGTGTGGTTACCGTCGCCCATGGACTTCAGCAATGCCAGGGGCAGAGCCAAGCCGCTACCTACCGCTTAATACTCTCCGCAAGCCTCTTTTAAAGAAGAAAATGTCATAGCGCTCGGGAAACACCGTCGAGGGGAGCTCATTCCATAGCCGGAGGTTATGTTAAGTGGTGTTAAGTGGTTACCGGAGCCCATAGACATCTACAACGTAATCGCCACCGCCGCCGAGTTATGAGTTCTAAGGTCTCAGTTTTGTTTTTACTGGGGCCGAGAGTCGTACTGTCTGCTTAGATAAAAGCTTGGCTTACGCTTTTATTATTATTTAATAGTAATCGTAGGAAGTTTTTTTATTTTTTTTTATTGCTTAGATGGGTGGACGAGCTCACAGCCCACCTGGTGTTAAGTGGTTACTGGAACCCATAGACATCTACAAAGTAGACGCGCCACCCAAGAAGTCTGATCATTGGTAGTTTGATTGATTTAACTGTTGGTATTAAGTCTTGAGTCCGCATAGGTAGGTATGTACCATCACTTTGCCTATTTCTGCCGTGAAGCAGTACTACGTTTTGGTTTTAAGAACGGGGCAGCCCTTTTATTATGAAACTGAAACTCAGAACTTACGTTCCAAGGTGAGTGGCGGTATTAACTTTGCTGATGTCTATGGGCTAAAACAATTAAACTAAATTAAGCAATAATCAATGAAGTGAGCCCCTGACAAGTCGGAAACCCTGGAAGGGCTATTGTTTAGTCTAGACTCTAGCCAGTCTAGGCACATTACAGGTCATTCACATCGCCCTATTACTGTACGTGTATATGTTTAGTTGTTGTGACAGTAATTAGATTAAATGATGTGGATGAGTGTCCTTACTGTGGCTGCAACAAGCTAAATATATTTCAAATTTTACTTTTAATAAAATACAATTTGATTCTAATTCGAAAAACTTTCAATTTAGCGGTGTATATTCTATATACCTGCTTCCTGCTCTATGTACGTACGTACTGACCGAGGGCTCACTGTTTGTATTATAGATATCAAATAATAATAAACATTGTAAATAAATAAAGTTAGCTCGAATTTGCGTCGTTGAAGTATTTTTATAAAGTACTAGCTGACCCGGCAGACTTCGTTGTGCCTCAATCGACAAATAAAAGACCTAAGCTTTTGTGTAAAATAAACTTAAAACAAACAAAAGGAATCCGTCCGGAAAATTGTTCTTTTTATTTAATTCCGAGCATTTTCATATTTATCTAAACCTATCTTTTAAACCTTCTCTAGACTTCCACGAATAATTCAAGACCATAATTAGCTAAATCGGTCCAGCCGTTCTCGAGTTTTAGCGAGACTAACGAACAGCAATTCATTTTTATATATAGAGATTCATAATTTGTCGTTTAAATTAAGTAATTTTTTTTTTTTACGTAAGTTAAAGTAATTACTTATTTATGAGAGCAGAGTAAAAGTAACATTCGGTCTGCGAGTTCGAAACTCGATTGCGTACTTTGTTAATCGAGCGAGGGCCAGGGAGGCGGATCTCGCCCAAGCCCTGGCCCTCTAAGTGTTTCGGGTCCCCCCTCACATGTCGGTCTGGGGACCGGCGAGGGGGGCCTAAGAATACGGCGTGCAAGCTGCTCTGCACGCGTTTTACGCAAGAGCATCCGGGTGATGGAAGGCCGGCTATCCTCGACCCACGCTGGTTCTGGTCCAGCGGGGTATTCCGTAGGATAGCTCACTCTAACCGGCGCCATCTAGGCGGGTTCCGGATAGCCTGCCGACCGAGAGGGCTGGTGGTCGTGGCGCCGACGACCGCCAGTCCGGCGTCCCGAGGGGGAGGGTGATGGGAGAGATGTGCTCCGCACTAAACGCTTCACTTTCCCCCCTTTGCCTCTTCATTAGTTCTGTCTCATGCGAGGTTTGGACGTTGGTTGTTGAGCGACAGGAGGTTTTAGTCAGTTCGACTCTGACATGCTCCGCCCTCTATCCCCAGTGGAGGGCGGAAGTCCGGCGATTTCCTCCTGACCAAAAAAAAATGATTCCTTTGTTAAAACTAAAAACATCACAGAAACCCTCTAACCAAAATCAACCACAAAAAGTACTACAATTGTACTTGGCATGAAAAGATAATTTTATAAAGCGCTTTAGAAAAGTTCCCGGAGCTTTCCGAAAATCTAATTACAAAGTAAAAATTCACTCGGTGATTTTTGTTTCGTAAATATGTTTGTTATTAGCTTTAAGAAAACGAACAATTCCCGCGCGTACCACGCGCTGTTAACAAAATAAATAATTAGACATTCTTCATTATCAGCTGTGAGCATGAGCCATGTGAGTGAACAGATACAATAAGACTATAGAAATTTAAAACTGCAGGCCGATACAGTAGACCGACCCTCCGACTAACGGCAGCGACTGGCCGAATGTAAACAGGATTCGTACCAAAAAAAATCAGCTTCGCTTCATTTTGTTTTTATTTGAATAAATCTGGTTCTAAAGCTCTGAGGTTTCGAAGTTTTCTTTGTACAAAAGTTTTAATTCGCTAACAAATTTTGGTTTCGTACTAAGATGAGTTATTTTATTGAACGTGCGTATATTAATTTACGGGGCACTTGATATATTTATATATATTCAAGGCGCGCTCTACGGGATCTACAGGCTCGACACAGTTCTCATTATCTCGCTGTTTGCACTGTAACAGATATGGAGCACAGTAATCACTAAATAACTGGTTAGCCGGGGCCTTATCTGCCGTACTAGTATTTCTAAGTAGTGTGTCTAAAAACGATACATTTATGAAGTCCGGTTATCCCGGTCGCGTCCGGACGCACCTGTTACTCGTTAAGGCCCGTCGCCGGAGGCCGGTCAGTCCGTTACACCCTTCCGGTCGCCGGCGCCGGTGCAGCGAGCTCCACCAGAACGCCTAACATTTCATTTGCTTTTTGAAAAACTTTATGAACATTTTCGTCTTTATTTTAAAACTGATTATATTTTAAATCTCTACGTTTTTAATAAGTAATCTATCTATCTATCTCTATATATGAAAATGAATTGCTGTTCGTTAGTCTCGCTAAAACTCGAGAACGGCTGGACCGATTTGGCTAATTTTGGTCTTGAATTATTTGTGGAAGTTCAGAGAAGGTTTAAAAGGTAGATAAATATGAAAGTGCTCGGAATTAAATAAAAATAACAAATTTGTTTTCATTTGATATGTCTACCGTCGGACGGATTCCTATAGTTTGTTTTAAATTTATTTTATACAATAGTTTAGGTCTTTTATTTATCGATTGAGACACTACGAAGTCTGCCGGGTCAGCTAGCTTAATATAGAAATAGAGAGAGGAATAGCTGAAGCCTACCACTTTACATAGTTGAAGTTTAAGTACCGACATTTAAATATTATTCGGTTTATAAATTTTAATAAAATATTAATGTGGTAATACCACTATATATTCTGTGGAGGACCTTAGTGAATTGCGGCGTACTCTTAAACTAAAATTATACACTAGATGGCGCCTGTGGTGGTGCTGGTGAGGCCGTCCTTTTCAGTTTTCTGATATATCTCGTTTTATATTTAAATTATTGTTATTTTAACAAAAAAATATTTATACACAAAGAAAAAAAAGCGGTGCCTGCCGAGTTTGTTCCTCCAGATCTGTTCAGGGTTGCGGCTGCTCTTAGAGCAGTCTGCTTAGTGCGAGTTTTTTAACGTTCTCGATAGCGTAAAAGTTAGCTCATATTTGTATGGAATGGGATCGTTTGCCTACGTTTGCCGTTAAGGGCGCTGTTCCAACTGCATACAAAATTGGGTTAACTTTTACGCTATCGAGAACGTTAAAAAACTCGCACTAAGCACACAGATGGTAACAATTCATTTCGATATTAAATAAGTATGTTCCATAATATCAAACTCGTAATGATATTTCAATGATAATGATATTTCAATATTTGAATTAAAATAATATTGTTACAGATAGGAGCGGTGATCTGTCAGCACGTCGCCGCTCTTCGCAGCAGTCCCCGGCTGCCCTCATCGCAGACTTCGACACCACCGTGCAACAGGTAACTCACCATAGCCCCGACATCCTGTCAACTACCAACCTGCTTCTGTCGCACTGTCATGTTCCTAACAACTGTTATTGTCGCTGATGGTAGCTCGGAGTCCACCCGAGTGCGTACGAGCAATCAGTTTATCTCGGCATTGAAGTGGTCATCCTTCCTTCTGATCTGAAGGGTTTTCCTACCTCTGTACAATACAATTGAGAGTCTTGGGTAGCCGCATTCAGCGATGTCTCTTGCATGTGCCAGTCTAATCGATAGTCCGATCACACGCTTACCAAAAAAATTAATAAAAACACAAACTTAACCTTCTGTAGAATATATGCGATGTGTCTAGTCAAATTAGAGAGACACACTCTGTATCATTTGTTAAAGATTCAATTTGAGAAAAGTCATATGTGAAGGAGTTTCCTTATTACGCAGTGTGTTAGAACAATTTACCTTTTCCGTCTGTAAGTAGTTTAGAAGTGAACCGAAAGAACGATATGATCTAGTTTATTGCACATTGAGAGCGACCGGGCCACGCGGAGCCGCCCCGCCGAACGAGCTGCTTCTCGACTGCTGAATACATACGAAACATTATCACGTTCAAAATCAAGTGTAAAAAGTAGTGACTGCGTGGTGTACATATATACGTTTGGAATAAAAGAATTATTATTTCATCTCTTAGAGGCAAGTTGTTTGTGCGAGTTAGTGATGCGAGATTTACCAATTTTTCTTTTTTTTATTGCCCTTGTACGCAGGCGTGCATACTGCGTATCTGATGGTGATTGGTTACCGTCGCCCATGGCTGTCAGCAACGCTAGGGGCAGAGCCAAGCCGCTGCCTACCATTGAGTACTCTCCGCAAGCCTCGTTTGAAGAAGGACATGTCATAGCGCTCGGGAAACATCGGAGAGGGGAGCTCATTACAAAGCCTGGTGGTACGTGGCAAAAAAGATCTCTGGAAACGCACTTTGTATGAACGCAGTGATTCCAGGTAGTATGGACGAACTCTACTCCAGTGACTGGCAGTGCGATGATAAAAACAAGATGATGGGATTATCTCAAACAATTCCTCGGAGCACTCCCCATGGAACACATGGTACAAAATACAAAGAGATCTGTAGTCCCGCCGCAGACCAGAGGTTTCAAATGATTCTTGAGAATTGGATGATCGACAATCCGAAAGGGCCCTCTTCTATATGCAGTAAAATGTATGTAGCTGATATCAGGGAGTTCCGGCCCAGAGTGGAAACAGTACTCCACTCGAGGCCGGACTTATACTTTATAAAGTAAAAGTCCTTATGGAGTCGTGAAGAAACGTTTCCCTCTGTTGAGGAAGTCCCAGCATTTTTGACGCCAACTTGGATTTGCCCTCCAAATGACTCGGAAATTGGACCTCGCTGGAAACGTTGATCTTCATTATCCCAATACTCGGGGAAGGTTGCAGAGATAGTCCTTGGAATTGAAAAAGTGAAAATGGGGTCCGTTTTCGCAGCGAACGCGTATACTTGTGTCTTCAAATTAGAATTCAGATTAGGATTTCATTTTCTCTGAATGAAAAGAAAAATAAATGATTACATAGCTCATGTGTGCAAACAAAGCGAAGGAGTCCAGCCACAAATCACTGCTGAGGACTCCTTTCTAACCACGTTGGAAGAAGCAGCTTAAGATGCTGAAGTGTGGTTTTTCGTTCAACATTCTGTGCCAACTTAGTCTAATTGAGCATAAATATTGGAAAAGTATACAATACTTTTTAAATTTTTACACTTCTATTCTATTTTATACTATTATTCTTATTATTATTTTAAAATAAATGCAGCGTCTCTGTCCAATTTATTTAGTCGTATGTTTCTAAAACAACACAAAAGGTCGCTCAAATCTGTATTCGAACGACGCTATTAGGGACACCGCTCGGCCACAACCTCGCAGCGTTTTCATTGAAAATCCGAAAGAAAAACGCGACTATATATCCTGAACGGGCACCCGTATGACCCAGCTCAGTATCGGAAAGCGATTCGATATAAAATATATATTTTTTCGTGTATAATATTTTACGCTCGCTTTAGAAATGATTTTGATTTAATACAGAAATAATTGTGTCTTCTTTTGGTAGTATTTTTCCTCTCGAATATAAATAGAACACGATAAAATTATTTGTAGTGTTTATAGCACGAGTATAGGCTGCCTGAGGTGTTTGTTGATTGAGTATTGCTTTTGTGTACTGTGTTTTCGTATAGATGGGTAGACGAGCTCACTTCCCGTCAAGCAATAATAGGTCGTCGGAGCTTACAGACAGTATAGACACAATCCGAGGTTGAGTCACAATAAAATTGTAGTAGATTTAAAGGCTCAGTGGTAGTGCTGTTAAAATGGTTCGCTACGTAAATAAGTAAGGCGGCCCTTGCTGCCTCACAATACGTCCTTCCTTCAGTAAATACGGAAATAGATTTCATACGCAAATATTTAACGCTTCCTCTGGTTTTTACAGCCAATAACAGTGCAAGATGTTCACGAAATGTTCACGATTGATTAATCGTGAACATTTCGTGTAATAAAAATCAAACCTGCAAAATTATAATTTGCGTAATTACTGGTGGTAGGACGTCTTGTGAGTCCGCGCGGGTAGGTACCACCACCCCGCCTATTTCTGCCGTGAAGCAGTAATGCGTTTCGGTTTGAAGGGTGGGGCAGCCGTTGTAACTATACTTGAGACCTTAGAACTTATATCTCAAGGTGGGTGGCGTATTTACGTTGTTGATGACTATGGGCTCCAGTAACCACTTAACACCAGGTGGGCTGTGAGCTCGTACACCCATCTAAGCAATAAAAAAAGAGCTTACGGATATCCCGCTGGTAATTGGTTACCGTTGCTCAAGGAAATTGGCTATACGAGTGGTGTACGTTGATAATAAATTGTTGAAGTTCGTTAAAAAAAAACTAAAACGCTGTTAACAATTACATTGGAATTCCGTTTCCTAAAATTCTTGTTCAATTTCCAGTAGATTTGTCTTTACGCAAATTTAACACAGACAATCGATTTCGTTGGGATATTCTCACGAAATGTAACTTTCCCTAGACGGGAGAAACAATGTTATGGGAGACCAATCGACTTTTATAAAATTGAAACGTATTTTCTATTGTCATTGTCCGGTGTATCGAACATTTTTATTATAACTAGTAGTCCCGCAGTAGTCGAAATTCGACTTTAATTAATTTAAAATATAAATTTGAACATAATTAAGGTTCTATTGTCAAAGATTAATACGTCATTAATCACAAATTTTGCCAAGACTACACTATAGGCAAATAATATTAAAGATAAAGAATATTAACCTATTCTCATTTTGACTACAGACTTTAAGCAATAACCAAAGTTTGACAATAAACAAATATTAAAAAACAACGAGTTATACATAGTAGTGTATAATATTTTTATTTATTGATTTAATGTATTTATTAATGCATAATTGAAAAACATATTATCATTCTGCACTCCTTCTCTATATTCTCTATCAGGATGTGGAAAATTTCATACTCCTCCGTCCGCGCAATTTTCAATATAATGGGTACAAAGATTTGCTTCACGTATTAATATATAGATTCTCATATAATTCTATAAGAAGATTATTAATATATTATAATTAATATATTAATATTTTGATTCTTTTTATTTTTTAATTTTTATTGCCTAGATGTGCGGACGAGCTCACAGCCCACCTGGTGTTAAGTGGTTACTGGAACCCATAGACATCTACAACGTAAATGCGCCACACACCTTGAGATATAAGTCTTATAAGAAGAAAAAAATGTCGTTTTTATTGTTACAGATCCGGGACTGGCTGTCTGTGGAGGTGGACATGCTGCGAGCCCAGTCGGTGGCCGTGGGGGACGTCGACGAGATCCTACACCAGCTCGACAAACAAAAGGCAAGTCTTCAATATTTGAGTCTCTCGAGACGGAGCTGGACTATCCCATATAACTATACTTGAGATCTTAGAACTTATCTCAGGTTGGTGGCGTATTTACGTTGTAGATGTCTATGGGCTCCAGTAACCACTTAACACCAGGTGGTCTGTGAGCTCGTCCGCTCGTCCACATCTAAGCAATAATGAGTGCTTCGTAGCTGAAACAAGTTGTATCGTTGTATCTGGTCAGGACACCGTACTCTCTATCACTAGTAAATTACTTGATAAAGAAACGAATATCGTACCTTTTCAATCCATTTAGAGTCAAGCGGATATTGAATATGCTGGATTGTAAGTTCATCTGCTGGTCGGAGCTCATTTGGTGGCAGAGCATGGCGGGGTCAACCACAACCCGTTCGCCTTACTTACTAAAATGTAGAAATATTCAACTCTATTAATTCATCACTTCCTCTTCTTTTCATTCATGTCACTCTTGACAGATTGGTCGTGATCGTGATGTAGTGTTGGAGAGAGCAGACTTGTCTACGATGTCACGTCATCTTTCCATCTCTCCCTGCTCGAGACCGTGCTATTGCACTCATTTGGGGGACCTCCCACTATAGTTTTAATTTGTCGGTCCACCGCATTGGTATCCTTCCACACGGTTTTGTGCCATCCTCCCTTCCCTGTATGATGGGGCGTTCCATGGGCCAGCTATCTCCTCTCGAAACGTGTCCGAAATAATCCCCCTTCCGAGACTGGACTACAGAAAATAGATGCTGCTTGATGCCGAGCTCTTGAAGAATCGAAATATTTGTATGAAGTATTGAAACTCGGTCCACGAAACTCCAAGCATTCTTCTCCACCACCACATCTCTAAAGATTATATTTTATTTCTTTCCAATTCTCGCACAGTCCACGTCTTAACAACGTATAGAAATATGAGAATATTAGTGTTCTAATGGGTTTGATTTATGTGATCTTAGTTATGTTTCTATTTCTCCATACTTTCCTCCCTTCCGCCCGTCCATCGCGGATCTCGTGACAGCCAATAACAGATCACTAAAGTCAATCAAATCCCTTGCCGACGATAACTAGTCAATGGGTCCAAATCACATTGATTATTAGAAATAAATTTGCTATGGGAATTTATACTTTACAACTGTCTAGATAGAGTTTGTTTGTTAGTAAATAATTGAAA